CTGAGTTCATGCAAGGCGCCACATTGGAGAAGTTGACAAAATTGCTGCTTTGAAGGCGCTCTGGGGTCAAGTAACCTGATATTGCGTCGAGGGTAAGTCCTGCCTGTCGAAATTCATGCTACGCGTTGAGCACTGTCAAACTCGAGTACTGGGCTTTTGCCAGTCTTCCAGATTCTGCGGACAGGGATGGAAGTCCGCCTAATTGGAGCGGTCAGTAGCTTGCATCTAATGCTAGAAATACACTTGCAGTTGGAGGCATAATGACAGCCACACTTCAGAGGCTAACAAGTTAATAAATTCAGGGAAAGATATGGGCACTTGGCACAGTTGGTAGCGCGCACGCTTCGCATTTTCCTTTAGTGATTGCGTGAGGTCGTGAGTTCAATTCTCACAGTGTCCATTCATTCAATCTTTTGCACAATGGGCAATGCTTTACATTTTTTTATATGTCATGGGGTTTCATGGTGGTTAAAATATAGTCTTAACATTACCAATGAAGGAATCTCAACAGTTGTGACTAGCAGATCACATGGGAAACCAAGAGAGAGGGTAGGAAGTGGATCAGTTCAGTATAGAACTTCCACTTTCCCTCATGACAACTCTCCCTTTGTGTAAAGGCCAACAGCTCTGACTTTGCCACTGGATGTCTGTTGCAACAGTCCCAGGATGATGGAAAGTGGCATCTGGCAGCGTTATACTCTCAAAGCTTGAATGCTGTAGATGTCATGACTCGCTACTGACCTCCAGCACTCAGCCCTGGCCCTGGGACTCCAGCCTCCTCAAACCAGCCTCCACAACGTCCCAGGCCTGGACCTCTATCTGACCAGCCACCACAACAGCCCCTGGCCATCACCGCCTGTCACTGCCACCAGCCACCCCCCTGGCACCCTTCAGCCATTACCACCCATGACCACCACATCAGTGCTGGCCCCGGCTATTCCCGGTGCTTCCCCCAACTGCAGCCACCACATCAGCACTGATGCCAGCAACCCCCAGTACTTCCCCTGGCCCATGCTGAAGCCTCCCCTGGCTATCACCAAGACGCCCATCACACATCATGACCATGCATCAATGCCAGTCTGACCTCCATACACCACACCCCACTCTTGCTCACCTCCTTGCCTCACTGCCATTCCATGCCTCCACACTTCCAAAGCAAGACCTTTCTTTGAGGAGCTTCCTTTGCGCTGCTTGATATGCATTGACCACTGCTGCTGCCTTGCACAATCCCCAGCACCATGACTTCCCACCAGGGCCTGGACCTGAGCCTCAGGGCCTACGTACCATCCAGTATATAAGCTGTAGAGTAGCATCTCATACTCTAGTCTTAATATTACCATACTTTGTCTCCAGTTTCATGTTTTATTCTCTGTTTCTAGTCTTGTGTGTTCTGGTTTTCTTTTCTTAACTTATCTTATTTTTGTCTTGTACTTGTCTTATATTGTACTCTAAATCTAACTCTGCTTCTCTTTTCTTTCTCTGCCTCAAGTTTTTAAGTCTCTCCTCTCTTCTCTATTTCCTCACCTTCATCTCAACTCATTCCATTTCCTCTTTTGTCTCTCTTATCTTGACTCTTTCCCCTTTTAGCTCACTTAGATCTCTGCGCCCCCCATCTTTGATCCCAGGACTCACCAAGTCCCCTTGCTCGCCCTGACTATCTGTCCACCAGCCCCAGGACTTGCTTGCACACTGGCACTTGTCTTCACCTCTCCTTTTGAATCCCCAGGACTTGTGCTTACCCCAGCACTCGTCCTCCAACCCCCTTCCTCAGTCCTGGCACTTGCATTATTGCTTTGGCATGACCGGTGATCACTTGCTCAAACACTGCTTGCATTCCCAGCCCTGCCCTGGTCTCTCAACAGTACCGTTGTGTTTGTGGACATCATGCATGCCATGTAAGGATTCACCCAGTGGACTGAGTCCCCATAGTCAGCGGAACCTGACAGTAGAGTACTACAAGATCCATGACAAGGAAATGCTTGCTATCATTTGAGCCTTTTAGGAATGGTGCCACTTCCTAGAGGGTGCACAGCACAAGTTTGAGGTCTGGCCAATCACAAGAACCTGGAGTATTTCTGAATGGCCAAGAAGCTCAAGTGTCAACAGGCCCAGTGGTCTCTTTACTTAGCCAACTTTGACTTCTCACTGCACCACAAGCCTGGCCAGAGTATAGAGAAACCCTGATGCTCTGTCTGAGAGAACAGACCACAGCACTGGGGAAGAAGACAACAGTAATATCATGCTCCTTTTGTTGGAGTTGTTTGCAATCTGGGCCATGGAAAGCTTGGCTGTTCAGGGAGCAGAGGTTTCTATCCTCCAGGACATTCAATGTAAAAACCAGGATGGTAGGCATGAAGATCTTGTTGCTAAAGTGATCATGGCTCTGAAGTTAGAATGTACCATCAGTGCCAAGTCAGTCCAAACAGATGAATGAGCCCC